CAAATATATTCGATATAAATATTCTTATACATATAAATTTAACAAGTATAAATAAAAAAATTATGATCATGTTTAATTTAGCCTATTGTTAAATATAATATTGTAAAATATAATCTAATATAAATACAAAAATGAAAAACATTCCTTTATTATCTATTAAAAAACAATGAACAAACAAAATATTCTTTAGAAAAAAATTGATCAATGAAAAAATTGATCAATGAAAAAAAGTATTTATCTATATAAATTTGCAATTAATCTAAGAAAAAATGAACAATAATTTATTTAAAATATTTAATTATATTTCTATGTGCATATATAATCGCATATATAAGAACATATGAAAGAACATTTAAAATGATATAAAAAACGTAAATATTTGATTGTAGATAATTGAAAAAAAGTGATTTTTAATAATTATATGTATATATCAGAATATATGCTGATGATAATTAATAAATAATTTGTTTAAAAAAAATTTTTTTAATGAAAATTTTATAATTATTTAAATTTTTTAATTATTTTAAATTATTTTAAAATTATTTAAATTATTTAAATTAAAAAAAAAATATTTTGATTCTTATATAATGTATATGGTATGATAACTCAAGATATCATAAAACTGAACATATGATATGTCAATTCTGAAATACTTTTAGAAAATTTCCTCATACTCCAAGTGTAGAAAATTAGTATACGGATTTTTATTTTTTCCGATGTAATAATGCAACAAAAGAATGCAAGATTATTTAAAGAATAATAAAAATAATAAATTAATCAATAAATAGTTGATCTAATTGTAGAAAATTTGGAGCAATATCAAGAAAATTAATTCACATGAAAAAAGAATAAAAATAATAAATAATAAAAGCAATTAAGATATTATGTAATAAGATATTATAAAATCAGATTAACAAAATATGAACATTTATAGAATTAATTATAAAATAAAAACGATTATACATATGAAAATATATAAATATATTAGATAATATGAATTTTAATTCATTTTTTCTTTAGATTAATTGCAAATTTATATGAACGAATATTTTTTTCTAATGCTTCATTGTTTAAATATTTTATTAATAAATTATTTTTTCAATTTTTCAGTTTTCAAATTTCCAATATTTTTCAATATTTTATTTATTCATTATTTTTTAATAGATAAAAGAATATTCTTTTTGTATATTTATTTTATATTAGATCAATTTAAATACTTCGACAATTCAACTTCATTATTTTGCTATCACTTTATTATATAATGTGTCCGTTTTATCTAAAAATATATAAATATCTCAGAAACTATGGATAATAAAAAAAAAATATTAAGAATAAATATTATATATATGCGAAATCGACAGGTACATATGTTAATATTTATTCTACCTTCAATAATCTTGAAATTCATATTAATATTTATATTATAATTATATTAATATATAATATAAATTTATAAATTAATAAATATAATATAAATTTATATTTAAATTTATATTTTTAAATAGAAACTAAATTTTTTTATTTTATTTTTGTAACCAACATCAAAATATGTTAACAAAACTATATTAACTATTTATTTATATTTTTTATATAGATGCATAAGTCTTATCATGATACAATATCTTTATTTACACTTCCACTTATACAAGAAGAATTATTTAACTTCCCCACTTGTTATAAATAATTTATTTATAAATAATAAAAAAAATAATAATATTAATTAATATAAATAATTCAAAATTTTTATATATTGAATACACTTTGTTAGAATAATAAAGTTCACTAAAATAAGTATATTTATAAGTTTATTTATAATATTTATATGTTTTATTTTTTAATTCATTATACTTTATACTTTACACAATACAATTACTTATTGAGCACTAATAAAACCAAATCAAAAATGAATAAATCGAATATAAAATGTATATAGCATTAACGAACAATAAAATTGAAAAGAAAATAGCTAATGCAATGGAATAATATGGATATATGGATAAACTATAACAGTTTGTATCTAAGTTTATAAATAAATAAATTGATTTATATATTTAAGACAGAATGATATTTTTGATTATCGATTTGATAATATAATAACTGAATAAATTAATGATTAAATTAATGATTGCAAATGTCAATTACTCATAACTTAATAATAAGCCTTAACCAATATTTTGTATATTGTAAAAACCAATTGTTTTTAAAATTGACCGCAAAAATGCTTCATAAATATATTAATTAATTAATTAATTATAATTATTTTAAAAATTATATTGAAATCATAATTTTAATCATTCTTCAGCACTGTCCTATTTCATTAAAATTAATATATATGAAAAATATAAATGCAAAGTATAAATATAAATATTAATATATATATTATTATTATTATTTATATTATAATATTTATTATTTATATATATTATTATTTAATAATATAAATAATATAAATTATTTAATAATATAAATAATATAAATTATTTAATAATATAAATAATAATATATATATTATATTATTATATATTAATTATATTAATATAATATATATATTATTATTTAGTTATATAAATTTTAATATATATATATATTATTAAATATTAATATAAAATCGGTTAAAAAAATATTGGCACACTTTTTAAAACATGATTTTTAAATTTAATAATTAATGAGTTTTTTAAAAGAATTAAACAGATTATTAAATGATATAAAAAAAAATTTTTTTAAATTGCAATTTATTGAAATCGTGAAGAAAAATAAAAATGTAAAGGATATTTTTTCAATTTTTTTAATTTAAATTTTTAATGAAAAAATTATATTTTATAAACTTATATCAATTATATACATGCTATAAATTTCATTAAAATTGGCTAATTTTAGAAAGAAGCAACAGATACATTGAAAAATATAAAAATCTTTAGATTTTAGGCTGCGATTTTTATTATTTTTAATTGTTTTTAACTTATAATAATATTGATTTCGATGAAATTCTAAAAAATTCTAAAAAATTTTTTATTCATTCATTATCTAAATCTAAGGCAACCTGATAGACAATTTTCAAAATCATTTAAATTCAGCACATGAAAATATATAAAAAATTATTCTATTTTATTGATTTTTTTATTGAAATTTTTATTTTTTTTATTATTTTTAAATTTTTATTGAATTTTTTATTGTTTTGATAGACTCATTTTTCACATAAACAAGTCAAATTTATAAAAAAAAATATAAATTAATATAATTAGCTTTCTTATATATTATTAAGAAGAGAATACTTTATATGAGTGTATAATTTGGATACATTGCATCAATCTCAAAAAACACTAAAAATCATAGGTTGTTATAATTTTGTCGCGAAATATATACGTATAAAATTAATAATTGATTGAAAAGTAATACATATTTAATTATAATAAATCGAAAAGAATAAAGAATGTACAAAGATCACTCTCATATGTCATCAAAAGTTTTTTATTACGAATATATAAAATTATAAAATATCATTTTGTTTATTTTACTTTTTCATTTATGAATAATACAATAAATGATAAACATACAAGGAATTGATTATGTTAATATACTATATTGATATATTATAATAATTCGTCGAAGATTCGATTCGCTTTAAAAAAATTAAAATTGAATTTGTTTCATACCAATTTATTTTACATTTGTCATGCTATTAGGTCTTAATAGTTAAGCCAAACAATAGCTTTAGAATGTAATTATCAGATTATAATTCTTAAGTTTAATTTGATATAGAAATTTTATTTTAAGCATCTAGAAGAAATTAAAAAGTTCTTTGATTTATAGATGAATAATAATCACCATAAAATTATTTAAAGCATCGTGGATTCTAATTATTTCATATAATATATATAAATATATATATAATATAATCCCAGACATTTGGATTTAACCTAATAGAAAATCCATTATTTGCGGTTGTTTATTCATAACTAATTCTAGATTATGCAATGGGAAGAAGTGGGGGAGAAAAAGGAGAAACAAGAACAGGAAGAAAAAAGGAATTTACATCATTTATAGCGATTATTCATCTTCCAAGAAATGAATCTATTCTCTTATACTTCATTTTTTATTTTTTTGTAATTTTGAATAAGAAGAAAGACTAAATTAATAATATATTGCATGGGAGAAATAGTCTGAATTGCATCGATGTTTGTTAGAACTTTTAAATCATATTTATTTTTCGTTTATACAATTTATTTTTATAATTTTTAAACATTCATATTTTGAATTATTATATTATATTTAGAATTATTTTAGAAACGTAGATTTCTGCATCGACATTTATATTATAGTTATAACATTCTTAGATTTGTTTAGAACTTCTTAGATATTCGCTTTAAAAACATTTACACTTGCTTAAAACATCTTTAACATTTTTCAGAATATCATTTTTAGCAATAACTGGATAGGACATTTAAATTACTCCCAACATTGTAGAAATTATTTACTATACACTATATTCGTATATATATATTATATATTATATTCGCATTAGTATACTAAAATATTTTTTACACAGAATATATATAATAGTTAAATAAATCTATAATATATATATATTAATATAATTTAATAAAATCTATAATATAATAAATAATAGTTAAATAAATCTGAATTATTTTTTTCTATCATTATGGTCTTTTGGAAAAAATATAAAATCAAATATAAAATCAGATAAAAAATCAAATATAAAATCAGACAAATCAATCAACTCTAAAAGATCTAGAAAATCAATCACAGAAAATCATATATACTTAAACTTATACTAGGGAGAAATTTTCTTAAATAAAAATTAACGTACAATTTTAAAGTTAATTGTATTTTTATTTCTATTTTGATTTCCTTTTATTTTCGAAATATAAGTAAGTGTATTATTTTTCAGCAAATATGTATTATTTATGTATCTTCATTATGTATCTTCATTCTTCTAATTCTTCTGTAATTATTTTTTTATTTTATCGATTATTTTTCAGATTGATTGGATAATGTTAAGTACCAGCATGGCAAATCGATTTGTACGATATGATTATTTGCACGATTATGATATTTCCAATTTAAAATTTGCCATTATTGGTGGATCTGCATTAAATGGAGAAACTCAAGATATAATAAAAAAATATTTACCAAATACTATGATTATACAGGCATACGGTGAATTGAAAAACTATTAAAAAAACTATAAAAACATAAATATTATGAATAATTTATATATACAGAAAAGAATAAACTAAAATGTTAATATTTTAATATACAAATTATTATAATATAATATTTCAGGTATGACAGAGTTAGGTGGTATAATTACTATACAATCATCAAGTGCTACAAGTGGTTCTTGTGGCATTGTGATTCCAAATTGCCAAATAAAAATTATAGATATCGACACAAGAAAGACGCTTGATCCGAATCAAACTGGCGAACTATGTGCAAAAACGTGGACAATGATGACAGGATACCACAAAAATCCTGAAGCTACTAAAGATATATTTGATAAAAATGGTATTCTAATAATTTTATTTATCATTTTTAAATATGAAACAATTACGGATATTAAACAGTTCAGTTCTAATTTTATTTGAAAATTAATAAATTTTAAACAAAAATAATACAAAATAAAGGAAATTAATTAGTTGATTAATAATAATATTTTATTTGTAGGATGGTTACATTCTGGTGATTTAGCTTATTATAATGAAAATGGAGAAGTTTTTATTGTAGATAGACTAAAGGAAATTATTAAATACAAAGGATATCAAATATCACCGAATAAAATAGAAACTCTTTTACAATCACATCCTGCAGTTTTAGAAGTGGGAGTAGTTGGCATACCTCATCCTATTTATGATGAACTTCCTATTGCTTTTATCAGTAAAATACCTAATAAAGAAGTATATAAATATGATATTAATACTATTTAAATAATTAGTTTTTGTTATTAATTAATTAGTTAACGAATAGTTAACGAATTAATTATTAGTTATTAATAATATCATTATTTACATTTTTAAGTAAAGAGAAAAGTAAACAAAATTAAAAATAAATAATTTTATTTTTTATACATAAAAATAATTTCAATTATGAAAAATGTACGTTTTATTATACTTTGAAAACCAAATCTCTTTAATTTTTAACTTTTAATTTTAAATAACATAAATAACAAATTTTTATAGTAAAAATCTATTTTATGGATCTTTTATCTCTAGAATTATATTTTGAATATATTAATAAGAATTTAATAATATTTCAATATATAGCATATTAAATAGTATATTAATTTGTAATCAACAAACAAAGCGATTTTAAAATTATATTATAATATATTTATATATTATAATTTTTCAGCAATTTAGAATAAGCAAAATAACAAATGATATATTATTATTGAAAATTAAACGATAAACATAGAATTATAGGAAAATGAATAGAAAAACTATATAATTTGCCTCACTTTAAAAAAAAAAAGAAGAAACAATGAATATTTTTCAATATTTTATTTTAGAAATCAGGTATTCATATTAGATATTCATTTCTCTTTATAAATATTTTTTGCTTATGAAAATATAATAAATATTATATTGTAATGCTTAAGAAAACATAATAAATAATAAAAAATAATAGAAAATATATTATAAATAAAATTATGTTAGAATATAATTAAAATGCAATCATCTTGTTCCTTTTTATAAATAAAATATTAAAATTTTAAATAAATAAAAAAATATTTTTAAATAGAATTAACATATAAAATAGATTTAGAAAAAAAATACTATTCAACAAAATTATCATTATTTTTTATTAATAATTTCTTTGTTTTTCTTTGACAATTGCATATATCTTAACATGATACATATTATATCCAAACATATATCTAAACATATATATCATATATCTAAACATGATACATATTATATCCAATTTTGTGTAAATATAGCAGTTCCGAATTTTTATTAAAAATAAGAAAATAAATATTATATTATAATATGTAACAATAGATAAGCTATTATTAGCTTGAAATGGAACATTATGAAACAATGAGATGATTAAAATGAGATATAAACTTCGTGTATAAAAAATCTTGTTTTAAATATAAAATATTAACAAACGATTATAAGCAATAGATAGATAGAAGCATGTTTTGTCAACTGAAATATATTTAGCTATTTCCTTATACTAGAATAGTTAAAAACTATAGAATAAAAACATAAAATGAGGAAAACAAGTCTTAATAAACATAGATTAAAAAATAAATATTTTTAAAAACATAAATTTTTTTGTGTCGATTAAGGCAAATAACTGATTTGTTTTGAAAATTTGAAAATTAATGTACAATGTAAAAAATAATAGATTGTTGTTCATTTCATTTCTAGTTATAAAATTGATACAGATAAATTATATAAATAATTATATAAATAAATTGATAGAGATTGATACAAATAAATTATTTTCTAATGTTTATTAGAATTTGTTTCTTTTTATTTAGCGAATATCTATTCTAAATATCATAAATTACAATTAATTGTATATGTATCAAAGAAATATAAAAAATCTCACTATAAAATGATAATTAAATAATAAAATATAAATTAATAATAATATAAAATTAAATATAGAATTCAGATAGAATTAAACAAAATTTCTACAAATGATATATCTATATGTATATTATACAAATAAAATATATATTACTTAATTTATAGGTTTCTGAAGAAGAATTGACGAAAATGGTTGCTAATAATATGATGGATATCTACAAATTACGTGGTGGTATAAAATTTTTACCAAGTTTACCACATACTCCTTCGGGAAAAATTTCAAGAAAAAAATTGAGAGCGATGGCAAAAGAGTTAACTATCAATTAAATTATGAAAGTATTAATTACTTTTATTGTAACATGGAATAATATAAATGAATATATATTTGTTATTGTATGTATATAATATAATTTGTTAAACTATCAATATACTTCTGCATTTTTATTGTGACTATTACGATTATATGATTATTATGACTATATTAATTTATATAAATATTAATATAAATATATTATATTAATATATTTATATATATATATTAATATTTATAATATTATATAATATTAATATAAATATCTTTATTAGTTATAATATAAGATAATATAATATAACTTCTGTATTTATATTATTATAATATCTATTTTAATATATCTAAGTATAACATAAATTTTACTTACAATTTATTTATAATGGCGTAATATTTTAAATAATGTAATAATCTCTTATTTTAAAATGAAAAAAATAAAAAAATATAAATATAATCATAATAAAATATAATCATAAAAATTTTTATATATTTTATAATAATTTTAAATAATTTTATAATATATTTTAAATGCAATTAATATCAAAATTAACAATAATTCTGTTTTATATAAAGCATTGAATATAATATATAATATATTATATATAATATATATATATATATGAATATAATATAGATTATAAAGAATTATGCATGAATATTTTTTTATTAATAAAATATCACTTTAGAAAAGAAATTAACGCTTTTTTGTATTATTATATTATTTTTTTTATATATAATTTCATAATATACGAAATAGAGCAAAATTTTAAAATGTAAAATATTCATATTATTCTGTAGAAAAAATAATTTTCTAAATAAAATTTTTCTGTAGAAAAAATAATTTTCTAAATAAAATTATATATGAAACACAAAAAAAAAAATGATAAAACTTGAAACTCAATTTCATTTAAAAAAATTTTCTGTCTGTTCAGACATTGAACAGATAATACAGGTACAGATACTGCGAAGACAATGCTGTTTTTGAGAGAAATTTGGACGATCCTTCGCTTTATATATTTAAAAATAATTCGGCATGACTGTTTGCATGACAGGAATGTCAATGTGATCTGAGGCCTGTAACGACATTTTTTAGCCAATTAGCATTATTCTACTTGAGAAGAATTATTACCAACACTTATGGATCAGTTTCACTTAGGAAAAATAGCGGACTTTGTGGATGGCATAGCTCCTCAGTTTCATTCTAGGAATTTTTCTTAGAGGGTATTGTTCAATCAGAAGGCTGATCCACAATGTTATTGGTGGCTTGTGTATCTCACTAAAGACTCGCGATCTCGCGAGATGAAGGGATTTTAGAGGGGACTAATATTTTGGAAGAATTTTTTGAAATTCAGAACTTTTAGAATCTTTGAATCGTCAGAATTTTTAGAACCCTTTAATCGCTAGAACTTTTAGAATCCTTTAACCGCCATAACTTTTAAAACTCTTTAATCTTCAGAACTTTTAGAATCTTTAATTTTCAAAAATTTTTTGAACTCTTCTGAAATTATAATCTTGAACTTTAATGATAATGTAAATTCCTTCATATGGACTTTGCTTTTGATTATCTGCGAACTTATATAAGACAATCGAATTTATTAACAGCGAACTTTATAATAAATTAGTTTTATTACTATATACGATAACTTCAGGAATGGGTTGATAACACCATCGAAAAATAAATTGTTTTATATATGACTTTGTACACACACAAATTTTTCATAGAAGAATTTAACAAAATGTATAACAAAATGTATAAAAATTTTTTTTATTTACTATTTTTATTTTTGCGTAGATAAATAAAAGTATGAAATAAATTTAAAATAAATCTATTAAATAATAATATATATCTTTAGAATTTCTATATATCTTTAGAAAGTTAGTCAAGATTATTTCTTTATGGTTTCTGTAGATAGCCGTCAATGTTAATTTTTTCACGTTTTTTCAAAAACTATAACCAAACTAAAAATAATTTTAGTTTAGTTATATATTTTGTTATCAGCAAGCGATCAGTTAGAAAATTTATCATGTTGATACATGAGATACTGAAGTTATCATTGGTTATTAGATACTTAACTAAGATTGCTATTCCAAAGATATTAATATATTGTATCTAATTATATATGTAGACAAAATTCAATATATTCTACTAAAAATATTTTTTTTAATATTTCATAAACTAACAACTAAAAATTTGAAATTAAAATTTTAGATTTAAAATTCAAATGTTTCATTTCATTTCTTCTAAATTATATATTAATCGAAAGTGTATATTTTTTAAAAAAGTATCTAAAATGCTTATTTATTAAATTATAACTATAAGATGAAATGAGATAGAAACAGACTATGACAGAAACGATTTACTTTTTTTTCTTTTAATGCAATTTTTATTGAATTATAATACAAATTTAAATTGTTTATAACGTAATAAATAAATCATAACCGAAAATTTTGTATATCAATATATTTCTATTTATTTTAGTTTCTAAATTAATTCTAAAATTAATTCAAATTAATTCTTTAAAAGCATCATATAACATGAATATATTAATATTATATAAAAATTTACTAATTGTCTTAGCATATAATTTATTGTGAAAGCGGAAATAAAGAGAAGCATACCATTCTTAAACATTTTAATAATAAAGAAAGAAATAATAAAGAAAATTTAATAATATAGAAATTTAATAAAATTTTAAAATATGAAGTCTAGAGAAAATCCATCCACAGTGTTGCAGTTATGCTGTTATGTTATATCATTTATAAATATATACTATATCATTTATAGATATACACATAATCTTTCTATTTTTCGATAATATTATGCGTATAATCATAAAACATAAATTTGGAAATTTAAAAAAAATTCGTGAACATTAATAGAATGTATATTTCTGATAATATTATATTATATTGGTCATGTGTTTCTTTTAATTTGGTTATATCAATATATACTGACCTTCTACATATATTATCCCTAATTCATTCGGTAAAATAATAAAATATTATTTGTAATATTATATATTTTATTATCCGTAAAATTATAATGATAAGCAAAAGTAAATAGTTGTAAACAATCAATGTTTCAAATCATAAATTAATTTATGAAAAGTGTGATAATAGTTAATAATTTCAATTATTTTATAAAATTTAAATTATTATAATAATACACAAATTGAATTAATAAATACAAAGTAGATCCCCGTTTTGCAAAAAAATCATTTCATCTTTATTATAATAAAATTGATAACTTGATAGCTAATAAATTATATGTAAAATATCTTGAATTATATTATTTTTTTCATTTTTATTTAATTTTTTATAAAAAATTGATATTTGTTCGCATCAAAATATTGTAAGTGGATGGAAATTTGTTAACTGTATATATACATGTGTCGAATGTTTTTTCAACTAAAATATATTTGTGTATAGAAGCTGATGCTTATGACTATTGACATCATTCAACAAAACGTGATCTAGAATATTTCTTTCATTTTTTCATTTTAATTGTTGTACAATTAAAAAAAAATTTTATTGGTTCATGACAATGACATGAATATGATATTATAAAAATACCGACATTGCTAAAACACGACATTGTAAACTGTATAAAAATAACGATATAAATATTTTAGAAAAAACTTAACAAAATTTATTATATTAATTTATTATATTAATTTATTATAAATTTTAATGAAACAAATAATTGTTTTAATATATTTTCTAATTATGTGATCGTATTTATTTGTAACCTCGAGCTTTCGCTTCCTTAAACATAGCAATCAGGGAATCCAGGGTTTCTTGACTAGTAGGGATAATTTGATCAGCTGGAAGCAAGAAACCATAGCGACCAGTATCTCTTAGTTCATAAGTGTAAGTAATTGGTTTGTGAAAAGTTCCTTTCACCCAATCCATTGAACTTCCGCTTGCAATATCTGAAAACAAGAATTAAATCAAGATAAGCTATTAAACGACCACTTTAATGATTCATTTTGTATTGATTTGAAAGATAAATTTTAGATTAACCTCACTAAAAGAAAATTATTTTTCATTTCAAATTAAATTGATTCATTTAGTAATATAAAATTAAAATACATGATAAAATTATTTTATAATAAAATAAAACAAAATAAAAAATAAATTTTTTATTGTATTTAAATAATCAAAATGTATACTTACAAATAGTTTCAGCAATATTTCCGGTTTGGTATTGAGTTCCATAACGTTTCGCAAGAGTTTGAATAGCTTTTTTACCGATTGCAAGCTAAAAATATACGAAGTTAATTATTTCTTTGTGTTTGTACAAAGTACAATGAATTAACATAAATATATTGATAAAGAAATGAAAAATTCATCATTGTTATCGACTATACTGATTATTATTTATTATATAATATATTTAATACTATCATTTAATATAAAATATAAATATAAAATTTATGATTTAAAAAATATTAAAATTTAATTTTTAAAAAGAAAAACCAATGTAAATATATTATTATTTTATATAAAATTTGTTTGTGTATATATTATATATATTGAAAACTATATATATATATATATATATAAATTTTGTATATCAATATATTTCTATTTATTTTAGTTTCTAAATTAATTCTAAAATTAATTCAAATTAATTCTTTAAAAGCATCATATAACATGAATATATTAATATTATATAAAAATTTACTAATTGTCAAATTTACAATTATATATTTACAATTATATATATATATATAATTATATAATATAATATATATTATATATAATAT